ACTTTTCATCAATTTTCTAGTCTTGTTTCAATCAAATTGAATCCTTCCAATTTTCTTCTTTGGAAACAACAAGTCTTGCCCTTGATCAAAAGCCTTGGGATAGATCATCATCTTATACAAGAAAAACCAGCAGAAGAAGTTATTGACAAGGATGGCAAAGACGTTTTAAATCCTCAATTTTTATTATGGACTGACAATGACGGTTTACTTGTTTCATGGCTTCTAGGTATAATGACAGAAGACGTACTTACCATGGGCTGCGAAACAGCAAAACAAATATGGAGCAACTTGGAAGAGTAATTGTTGCCCAACACTATTGAGAATGAGGGACTCCTTGGTGGGATTGAGGAAAGGCTCTCTCTCGGTTGATGAATACGTCCGGAAATTCAAGTTCATTTGCGACAATCTTGCTGCCATCAATAAACCAATCTCAGAACTGAGAAAGTGTTCCAACTAGCTCGTGGTCTTGGTCCAAAATACAAAGATTTTCGAGTGGCAATGCTTACAAAGCCACCATATTCTTCCTTTAACCAATTTGTTATTTCTTTACAGAATAATGAGTAAATCTGTATGACAACAAAAAAAGAAGAAGAGAAAAAATTGGTCGATCAGGACGATTTAACTCGAGAGGACGAGGGTTTGCTCCTGCCAGCTGGTCCAACAATCAAAACTATTCTCAAAACAAATCAGGGATCCAAGGGAACAACAACCCAAACACCAGTTGGAAAGGAAGCAAGAGGGAAGGAAATTTTAGAGAAAGTTCAGGAAGAATTCCATGCCAAATATGTGGAAGAACTAACCACACTGCAATTAAGTGCAATTACAGGTATGACTATGCTTATCAAGAGGAAGATACACCTGAAGCATTAGCTGCCCTCGCCATTCAAGATGGCAATGACACAAACTTTTATGTCGATTCTGGAGCCATGACACATATGACAAATGACTTGGGTAAGCTAGAGTCTGCGCATTCTTATAATGGACAATATGTTATTTATGTCGGTAATGGGAATAAATTGCCAATTTCACACACCGCTGATGCGCTTTTAAAAAATCTCACGGTCATTTGAAATTAAAGGATGTGCTAGTTGCTCCTAAATTGAAGAAAAACTTATTGTCAGTTAGTCAATTAACTCTTGATAATTCTTGTATTTTTGAATTTGATGCTAATGGTTTTGTGATAAAGGATCGAAACCAACAGATTCTAGCAAAAGGGCATAGGAGAGGACAACTTTATGCTTTGGAGGAGGCACAAAGTGTAGCTCTTGCTGCTATCAGATCTCAAAAATCAGACCTATGCCATCAACGATTGGGACATGCCCATTCAAACTTTTTGAAAATTCTTGATAGGAAGAAAGTTATTAGTATCTCTAGTTGGCTTAATAAAAACTCAGTTTGTACAAGCTGCCAATTAGGCAAACGTTGCAAACTTCCATTTTATGATTCTAATAAAATTTGTGAATCTCCCTTGGAAAAAATTCATTGTGATTTATGGGGGCCTGCCCCTATTTCTTCTATGCAACTTTTTCGATACTATGTCATTTTTATTGATGATTGTACGCGTTACACTAGGATATATCCTCTCAAATAAAAATCTGATTTTTATGAATGTTTCATAAAATTTCAAAAATTAGTGGAAAATCAATTTGATCAAAAAATAAAATTTTTTCAAAGTGATGGAGCAGGTGAATTTACTTTAACTTTTTTCACTAACCATCTTGTTCATGTGGAATAGTTCATCAATTATCTTGTCCGGGTGTACCCGAGCAAAATAGAGTAGTTGAACGGAAGCATTGGCATATAGTAGAAACCGCGCTCACAATGATTTTCAATGCCAATTTACCTCTAAAGTTCTAGGTAGATGTTTTCCTTACTGCTACATTTTTTATAAATAGACTTCCATCTTCATCTCTCAAATTTGAAACTCCATTTTTTAAATTATTTGGAAAACATCCAGATTACAATGGTTTAAAAGTTTTGGGATGCAAATGTTTTCCTTATTTGAGATACCAAAGTCAAAATAAATTTTTAAAGAAAACGTTTCCATGTGTGTTTCTTGGATATAGTCCAAATCATAAAGGATATAGATTCGTAGATCCTACTACAAATAGAGTTTATATTTCTCGACATGTGGTTTTTGATGAATCAATTTTTCCTTACTCTAATTAACCTCCTCCTAGTAATGAGTCGTCACAGGAACTTGTAGTTACTACATTTCTAGATCAAGAGGAATGGCATGTCAAACCCTCAAGCTCCTCTCCTCCAACAATAAGCTAAAGCAACGTTAATGAATCAAATGATCATGGTGAGCTACAATTCAATCACTTGGACTCTTGTTTTGAACAAGAAACGTCTCAAGAAGTCACACCGGCTGCTCATGAAACAAATGCACAAGAACAACAACAAGGTGTAGATCATACTGTTATTACCAATACATATCATAATGATCAAAGTGTTCAAGAAGATCCAACTATTGGTCATCCACTCCATGAACAAGAACAGGTTGTGCACAGTAACCAATTTGAATGACTATGTGCTTGTTGCCACTCAAGATTACTCCACTCAAGAGCCAAAAACTCTAAAGACGGCACTTAAATCTCCGCATTGGAAAGCTGCCATGGAAGAAGAATTGGCAGCCTCACATGACAACCACACTTGGAGACTCGTACCACGACCTCAACAAACCAACATTGTTGGTTCAAAATGGGTTTATCGAATCAAATACAAAGAAGATGGTTCTATAAATCGCTATAAGGCTCGACTAGTTGCAAAGGGTTTTACTCAAGTTCCTGGCCAAGATTACGAAGAAACCTTCAATCCTATAATCAAACCAACAACAATACGAATTGTCCTTTCACTTGCCGTAGAATGGCGTAGTCCTATAATCAAACCAACAACAATACGAATTGTCCTTTCACTTGCCGTAGTCACCAATTGGTCCATTAGGCAACTCGATGTTAAGAATGCATTTCTCCATGGATTTCTCAAGGAAACTGCCTATATGGAACAACCTCCAGGTTTTATCAATCCAACTCTTCCTAATCATGTTTGCTTACTAAATAAGTCTTTGTATAGTTTAAAACAAGCACCTAGAGCTTGGTTTGATCATTATCTCAAAGTTTACTCACTTTTGGTTTTTCTTGTAGCAAGACAGATTCCTCTTTATTTATTTATAAGAAAAACAATAACATTCTCTTGTTTCTTGTCTATGTTGATGACACATTACTTATAGAAAATAATCCGTCACTCATTCAAACTCTCATTCATAAGATAAGCGGTGAATTTGCCTTGAAAGACCTAGGCATTCTTCACTACTTTCTTGGACTTGAAATCAAATATTTCTCCCATGGCATTTTTCTCTCTCAAACAAAATACACTAAGGATTTGCTCTCTCGTACGCATATGCTTGATTGCTCTTCACTATTCACTCCAATTGCCCTAAAAGAACCACAAGAAGCCAATGACAATACCCCAGTTGTTGATGAAAAGGAATATCGTAGTACAGTGGGAGCCCTTCAATACCTCACATTCACTCACCCCGATATTACTTATCCTGTAAATAAAGTGTGTCAACATTTTCACCAATCTATTGTTGCTCACTTATGTGTTGTCAAACGAATAATACGATATCTTCAAGGGACTCTTGACTATGGTCTTCGAATTCTATCCCAAAGTACACTAACTTTGAATGGTTTTTGTGATGCAGATTGGGGGGGATGTCCTCAAACACGACGAAGGACAAGGGTTTTTTGCATTTACCTTGGTTCAAATTGTGTCTCTTGGTCATCAAAAAAGTAACCTACGGGGGCTCGTTCTAGTGCTAAAGTAGAATATCGAGCCTTAGCATCCACCGCGGCAGAGCTCACATCGATTAGCTATTTATTTTGCGACATTGGAGTCACTTTGTCACAACCTCCACAACTATTCAGTGATAACATGAGTGCTTTACACATGACCATTAACCCTGTCTTCCATGCACGAACAAAACACATTGAACTCGACTACCACTTTGTAAGAGAAAAAGTAGCTAATGGTGCTATTGTTACAAAATTCATATCATCACAGCTGCAAATTGTAGATGTACTTACTACACCGCTGCCCAAACAATCATTCAAAGCTTTTCGAGTCAAGCTGGGAGTTCATGCTCTTCCACTCGCCAGCTTGAGGGGGCCTGATAAAGTCAATGAAAAATTCATGTTGATTCATGGCAAAAATGATGAGCAAAAGGTGGCTATACATTTGAACGTTGGAGCTAAAATATGGCAAGGTGGCTATAGAGATTCTTTAGATGATTTGTTACTGTTGGTAATTTAAGAGATCTCCTTACTAGATAATTTGTTACTATTGGTTTTTATGCATATATACTCTTGTTTGAACAACTTGCTTAGAAAAGAAAGAGTGAATATAAATTTTTTTTTTTTTCAATTGATTGCTTCTCGCATTTTTTATTCATTCCATTTAGTGCAAAGTCATTAAAGAGAGGCAAAAAGTAATGGTATTTAATTAGTAAAATATAAGTGATGCTGTGGGTATTTTTTCCATTTATGAGATAAGAGATCAGAGGATAGTGTGAAAAATGACTTCAATTGTTTTAATGGGTCACTTAGAAAAATTTTCTTGAGATCATTGTTGATATAGAGATTAGAAAGACCATGAAATTAGATTTAGTAGAGAATTTTAAAATTTTTGTTAATTAAATGGGGCATTATATTTACAAAATAAAATTCAACGGCTATGTACATTTAAAAAATAATAATAATAAGGGCACCATCTCACCACCGACCCTGCTCAAGAAGCAGAAAACGAAAGTAGCTGTTGTAAATAGAAACCTGCTTTAGAACTAAATAAAATAACTTGAGATCCAAGTCTTAGGTTGCCCTTTTCCTGCTCTATAAAATTCAATTTTCCGAAACCCTACCTGAAACCGAAAGTGAAAGTAATTTTGCTCTCTCTCTCTCTCTCTCTCTAATTCTACATTCGGTCTTGACGTTCTCACGGAGATGGAGATGAAGAGTACTACTACGGCGAACATGAAGAAAGGGTTTTTTTCTGATGGATTGGAAATTTTGGCCAGTGTATGTTGTTTCGTTCGCGATCAAGAATTGTACGGTGATAAAGAGCCAAACCATGTGCTAGACTTGGTTGAATCACTGAAATCGACAGACCCACTTCTCAAATTTCCCAAGAAAAAGAGGGAGTCTCCTGGCCGGCCCCACTACCCACGCCAACAACAACATCATCAAGAGGCGACGATCATGATCTCTGGTCATCATATTCATCACAGCCTTAATGATCATCCTCCTGACCTCTCTGTTGATCATTTGCCCAAGAAACGTCGTCTTTCGGATATTTATTATCATCTTGAAGATGATTATCAGAAGAAAAGACAGAGCAACAAGTTATACTCTGGTTCTACTGGTGCAAAACGGCGTCGTTTGGTCGGCGATCAAGAAGATCACGGTCAAAACGAAGAGAAAAAGAAGACTAGTACTACTACTAAGAGAAGAAGTGGGGATATTAAGGTTTCGGGTAAAAAACAAAAGGCGATAATGGCGGGACCGAATCCGCCACCGGAGATGTCGAACGCTTTGAAGGAGAAGATCGTTAAAGAAGTTGGTGAATACTCTGACTTGAGGCTTCTTATCCAGAAGAGCCTGTTCAGGAGCGATGTGGGGAAAAATCTGAACCGGCTCTCGATGCCGCTCGGCCAACTCGAATCGGACGACTTTCTGACCGACAAGGAGAAGAAGAAATTGGAGAGCAGAAAGGCGAACGACAGCAATCATTTGGAGGGCATAGAGATCGATTTTTTCGAGCCGAATTTGGAGTTTAAGAAGTCGAAGATGACGTTGAAGAAATGGGACTACGATAGTTCCAGTTCGTACATGTTGTCGGAGCACTGGTACAACGTCGTCACAAGGAATGGGCTCAAGAAGGAAGATGTTGTGCAGATTTGGTTCTTCAGAAGAAGAGAAGGAAATAATCCGTGCATCGCACTTGTCAATCTCTCCCAACGAAACGATTCGTCATCATCTTCTTCTTCTTCTACTGTTATTGATCATCAGAATGGCAAAAGTGATCAGTCAATTAGAAGCGATGTTACTGCCTAACTCAGTTTCTTCTTTTGGTTTCAGGCAAGCCAAAACAGAAAGTTTTGCACGGTGGTTAATTAATTAACTAATTAATTAATTTGTTTCTATTTTATTATTATTTTTCTTTATAATTTCTCCGTAAATATGAGATGATCGGATAAATGAGTACTGATGTTATCCAGTTCTTTCAAGCTCATATGTATAGTTAGGGCTTTGATTAATGACATTTGAGTTTTTTCATCAGTGAAATTGATTACTTGTGTTCAATTGATTGCAATTCCCTTATTTAATGTTCCTGGCTATTCCTAAGATTTAGGTGACTTTGCAATAACAGAGTATTACTACCTTGTTAGAAGTGAAATTCACTAATTTTGAAGCATCCAAATTAACAACTACCCTTTTTCCTCTCATTTGTCTTTCATAGGATCTGTTTTAGATTTTGAGAAGAAAAAAAAAAGGAAGAAAAGAAAGAGCAAACTGAAAGAGGAAAGAAAGAAAAGATAATTTTTTTGCTTATGACAGGTTGTAACTCAAGAATAATTAAAAAGGAAAGAAAATTGATTACATATTATTTCTTTTTTCGTGTTTAGATACTTAAAAAAAATGATGTTAAATTAATTTTCACTTTCTCATTACTCCTCTCTTTCACTCTACTTTCCTTTTCTCGCCTCACTTTCTCAAAAGGGAAAAATGTTTACCAAAACAACAAAAAAACAAAAAACAAAAAACAAAAAAAAAAAACAAAGGAAACCTTCCTGTCTTGACTCCTGAGAAATATATAAAACATATTTTTTCCTTTTTTTCCTTTTTTCTCTCGGGAATTAGCTGCTCATATTTGCATGGCTGCATGCTTTACTTATTCTTACACAACAAAATAGCGTACGTGATATGGATATGGCCCCACTATGACTTATAGTGGAGTGGACCACTATAGTTGAATTTGTTTATTTCTAGGTTCTCTAAATATTATGCTAACATAAAAACTTTAAATCAGATAAAACATGGAGAGGATACATCAACTGAAGATGCATTCATGGCAATGTATCTCCCCCTATTAAAAGTTACACTACATGGGAGCCAAATTAAAATATAGCAAATTTTTAAATATTTTAGAAATAGCAAATTACAGAGTAATTATAGCAATGATTTTTATGTTTTATTATGTAGTATTTATTTTAATTATTTTAATTTTTCTAGTATTAAGATAATATTATATGTCTAAGTTTAACTTACTCTTAGGATGTCAGTCGTGTCATACTCATGTCAGCCTGGTCCACAACCGGGTAGGCATAGACGTGCCCAATAACCGTGCTCGGCCTGGCCCAAAATTTAAAATTATAAGCACGGCCTGGCCCATGGGCCTAAACACATTCGTGCTCGTGTCATACCGTATTCATACTTTTATTGTGCTTGACATAATAGACCTTTAAATTGGCTTATTGGACCACTGAGTCGTTTTAAAATATTTTTGTACAATATTAAGTTTTTGAGCAGTTTTCACATAATAAATATTTCAAATAAAAATATAATTCCAAATAATATTACTATGAAAAAAAAAGCAAAAAACTTGATACCATCATAAGTTCTAATTTATAGATGAGATTTTTTATTTTATTTAAATTACTAGGAAGAGGTGACAACTAACATAAATGGATTACAAATCTAATACTAACGTAAGTTATTTAAATACTAATTATACATATGAGCAAGCAATTAAAAATATGAGCCGTTCAATTGAGATTTAAGAATATCAATTTTTAAATATACTTAATAGAAGCAACAAATATAATTTGTTTTAAGGTATGAGATTATATTCAATCACATTTAATTTTATTGATTTGAGAAAATTAATGAAAATCATATAATTTTTTTTAATGCCAAATGAATCAATTCTATTTTTGTGGATACATAAATTTTTTAATTATTGAAAAATATGTAACAACATAAAAATTATATAATAAAAATGAAAAAAAAAAGTTATATTTGTCATGTGGGCATCGTGCTCTATGGGCTGTGCTGTGTTTATATTTGTCATCACGTTAAGTCGTGCCAGATCCATGTGTTTAAAACTATGAGTTCGACGCGACTTACCACCTCATGTCGTGTTTAGCTCAACCCAAAATAATTTCATGTATTGCTATGCTCTGCTCAAATTTTTTTATGTCGTGTCATCATGTTCGCATGGTCTAATTGCCATCTCTACTCACTCTATACCTAGTTGATGGAGAGAACCATATGAACCCATATTATTCCTCTCATGTAAGTAACACTTGTTCCATTAGTGTCTTATGAGGTTTGAGACATGGATTTTGTTTCAAATTTTAGGGCTAATGAGAGAGAGAGAGACAGAGTATCTATAAATACAGGCTTATTTCTCAAGACAAGAAGCCTTCGTTATTTTTCAAAAGAAAACATTAAAGCATTTCTTTAAAAGAAAAAAAATTCTCTTTTATGTGGCCGCATAAAATGTCATATTTCGTTGAAACTTTTAGGACTAATACCCAAACACTCCTGTGTTTTGTTAAAATACCATTTTCGTTCTTTTAAATGCTCAAAACACCCTCCACGTGTTTATATAAAAAGACCAAAAACACTCCTGAAAGCAGTTAAGTTGTTGATAATGCCATGATTACCCTTTTAAATTTATGTTAAATGTTACTTTAGATATGATTTAACTAAAAAGTTAAATAAATTTTTTTTTAAATTGCTCAAATAAATATTCTAATAAAAGAAATACTTTAACTATTTTGAGAATTTTTTATTTTATTTTTAACATTGATTCGATTTAACATTTTGGTTTAATAATGTTTTAAATTATATTTAGTAAAGATCGGAAAGAGTAATCTTGATATTTTAAAAAATTTAACTACTTAAAATGGTGTTTTAGTCCGCTTCTATAAACACACGGAGTGTTTCAGACATTTACATAATAAAAAGAGTGAAAGTGGTGTTTTGGCAAGATACAGCGGATATTAATTTGGGGGTTTTTTTTTTCTCCAAACTTTTAACATGAATTTCACAAAGAAAGCCAATCGAGTGAGATAGTTGAGAGCTGTCGTGTTAATCGCATGTGAAAGGTTGAAATCATGCTCCTTGCTATTAATTATTGTAATTCGTGATTTTTAAGGGCTTTTTTTTATTATTTTTAAATCCGCCACGTGTGGCACTTATCCGCGGCTATTGCACTTATCTCTGTTATTGGAATTTTGTAGTTTTCATGAATGCTTCCACGTCCCAAGTCAAGAAGAAATAACACAACAAAACTTACTGTTGAAAGCAATTCGGCAATGTTGATTATTTACACACGCCCATTTAATTTACTAATTTGAATTTTTAATTTAAGTTAAGATATAATTTTATGTGAGAATTTTTTACTGTAGTAAAAAAGTTAAATATGACTGTTTCTGAGAGCTTTTTACTGTAATAAAACTCAAATTTTAAACTCGAATCGATGAAATAAAACTATTTCAACATGAAAAAAATATCACTTTTTTTGAAAAATAAAATAAAATAAACATAATGTATGAGATTTTATCCCGACTAATTTGTAGGATCCATATATAAAAGCACCTCTCCACATGGATCGAGTAAATCTCTGGCCTTTGACCCGTGGACATGGCGCCAAGGAATAGATAGCAATTAATCAGAATCAAACCTTAAACAGTTAAACCTAATGCTTCCTGAGGTGCTAAGTCGACTTTATTCATCATCACTGAACCAACGTTATTACAGCCCCTATTATAAAAAGTCCTGTTATATTTTATTGATGCTATCTTCTACACTAGTTAACACAGCATTTATAAAACTCTTATCTAAATAAATTGGTTATTTATAAATCATTTATATGTACATCTATTGCTTTTTTTGTGGTTTTCAACTTAGTATTTTTTAGTGCAATTTGATGAGAGGCTAAT